GGTTGGAAATTGATTTGTGATCAATATCGGAATCGGTTCCGTGTGAACTAATTAATCCATAGCAAAATTCATTTTCAAATTTGATGAAGAGAGGCAGATTCAAACATTTGTAGCTTCTGTGGAACGTTAAATGCTTGACCATTATGATACTTGTAGAACCTTAAGAATTTGTGTGAACAAAACATATATATTCAATTCTAGTAAAATGACAAATAAAAAATATTTTTTAATTACAATTATTAGTCTAACAATGACCCATCGATTGAACCATTGACTCCATGACACGATGATTTGATCGGTCGATTCTCATAACTATGGTAAATACTAGACAATATTGAATCCTACCATAAACATTGTTTAAGGAAAAATCCCACATCGAATATAGATCAACAAATAAGAATTTGAGTCTCTTAATAATATTTATCTTTTAAGATGAAAAAAGTAAATTAATGTTATTTATTTATTTACGGTTCATACTCCGTACATAATATGCATTTATCATGTTTTATGATTTTTTTTTTCCGATTAAGTTGTCTGAATATAATTTTATACATTTTTAAAATAAACTATTTCATTTTAAAAATAAACTAACTCAAATTGGATCTTTTTAAACATAAGTTGATTAACTCAAAATAGAAAAGAAAGAAAGTTATTTAAAAATATTTTATAAAATTAGTAAGGTCTTTCAAACTACAAATTTAAATAATGAAACTCACATTCTAAAATTACTTTTTTATTTCTTTTATTGGCCAATGGCATAAATAACGTAAAATATGATTTTCTTGAATTATTTTACAAAACTTGTATAAAATTGTAATCATTAATTTGAGAAACACTTGGAAATCAATTCTTTGAAAAGCTCGAATCTACAATTTTAAAGTAATATAATTTTTTACCGTGCTAAGGCGAGACGTGTCACGTCTTCAAAATTCGAGATAATGCAAATTTTGATTTTCATAATTATTTTGAGAAACACTCGAAAACTTTTTCTTTTGATAGGTCGAGAACATAAAAGACGTTTACGTTTGAATAAACAATACAATTAATTTGGCACAACGATAAAATATCTCAAATTTTCCACGTGTCGACTAAGAATAATAAAATATGACGTGAAAATCGTTGTCTAAAAATAATCTCGTCTTAATGCATTATAAACATACGAC